AACAAAATTTCGACACCTATTTTACCTCTTTTCCCCATTCTGTTTTCTTAATGCTGGGATCCAACCATTCAAACCAACGGGCCTTACACTGCTTGGCAGATTTCCTAGAATTTAACAAATACCAATCAATCAATCGATCAATCGATCAATCAACTGACAACATTTTTAACATAAAGAAAAAAACGACAATAAGTAATAAACCCGTTAAAGCCATCACGTATTTAATCAGTTAATTAAAAAATTATCCCATGACCAATAATTCAAAAGAGTTCTAACAGTTCATAAGTAAAATAACACCTTTATTTTTAAAACAAACAATAAGCTCGTTTGAGAAAAAGAAGAATTTTGATCAACTATTGACTAATCAAGAAGAGGAGAATGTGTTAATTCTTTTTAGCAAATATAAATTAGTTTCAGCAATTCAAAGGTTAGCGGATCAAATAGTTTTAAAGAAAGAAACCTTTTTCAAGGAAGTTATTCTCCCATTGAAATTCCCGCGGTGAATAATCAAAATTATTCAACAGGTTTTCTTTCAATATTATAACAAAAATCTTAATGTTTTCACTTTCTTCCTGAGCCGCCCAAAGTATACTTTTAAAAAGATTTTTATTGGAAAACATTCTTAAATTAAACAGATAATAAATTGTGACAAAAAAAATACAATTTGTCCCGTCATTTTGTTGCTAAAACAATCGGGCCCAATTTTTTTATAAGACCTCACAATTACATAAAACTGTTTTTGGTCGTCGAAATTTAAACAAAAAATTGCCTTAATATATTTTAAAAAATTGTAAATCCGCCAATGAATACAGGAGGATCTTTTAACTTTTGTATGACGAGCAAAGAACCAATTTTGACATTAAAGCATTTTTTTGAGAAAATAGACTGGGAATTACTCAAACAATAAAGTTTTTTTTTTGCTAAGAAAAGATTGCAACTGACCTGTGGAGTAGGGAAGCAATCCTAGACCACTGATTCTTCCCGTACTTCATGACGGCGGCCTTCATGATCTCGTCCTCCGTGTTCCTCCACACACCTCCCTTGATCATCACACGCGGCATTTTGGGTCTTGTCTAGTTCTGAAATAGTATCAAGTAAATGTATAGGAGTATATATTTTGAAGATGAGACGGAGAATTTGAAATTGGAGTTCACATGACAAATCTTTTCCCCTTCTATTGGATATTTTTCTTAAAAACTAAATATAAATTTCCCTAATCAGTGAAAAAATAAATACGCCTCTAGACTTGTAACTTTTTAAAATATTTTCATCACAGATATGTTACAAATTTGCACGGCAGAAAGATAACCCTGAATGAAAATTCATTTAATGTATAAAATCGTGTAGTCTTTGCAAATTAAAAATCCAAGATGTAATAGTAACATTTAAAATGTGGAAAAGATTGGAGTGGAAAGTAAAAATGAATAAATCTGGGAATATGAGTATGGACAAGTAAAAATAAATGATCTTATAAAAAAACTTATAATTTTGATATTTCTTTTAAAATTAGCATTTTAATAATTTGTTGAATGGGAGGGAATGATAGATACATTAGGAGCGGAAAAAACGAGGGGCGATAAAGAAACTGTTGTAGTAGGCAGGTTATCAGCTATAGGCGGTAGGGAGTGAAAAGATTGAGTAAGAGAGTGAGTAGGTAAAGAAAGGGAGTGAGTGGGAAGCGTGGGGGAGTGAGAAGGTAGAGTTAGGGAGTAACTAGGAAGTGTGGGAGAGTGATTAGGTAGAAGAGAGTGAGTAGGTAAGGTAAGGGAGTGAGAAGTTGACGACAGGGAATGAGTAGGTAGAGTAAAGGAATGAGAAGGTAGAGTAAGGGACTGAGAAGGTAGAGTAAAGGAATGAGAAGGTAGAGTAAGGGACTGCGTTAGAATGGAGAGGGAAGAAGTAGATAGACTAAGAGAGAAGGATGGCAGATTGAGATTAGAGGTAGGTAGTGTTAAGGAAGGTATGGAGATGGAAGGAGTAGGTGAGGGTAGGTTACTGGACGGTAGAGTAAGGGTAGGAGTAGATAGGGATATTTTAGTTGTATCCGTTAAACTTGAAATTGTGGTACTGGTGGTGGAACCAGAACTTTCCGGTAGTCCCAGGGTTGAGGTTGGTAGGGCTAGGGTTGGGGTTGGTAAGGCTAAGATTGGGGTGGGTAGGGCTACGATTGGGGTTGGTAGGGTTAGAGTTGGATTAGGTAGGGCCGGAGTTGGGGTTGGATGGGCTAGGGTTGGATTAGGTAGGGCCAGATTTAGGTTAGGTAGGGCCAGGGTTGAGGTGGGTAGGGATAGGGTTGAATTATGTAGGGATAGGGTTGGACTATGAAGGGATAGGGTTGGATTAGGTAGGGCCAGAGTTGGGGTTCGTAAGTCTAGGGTTGGGGTGTGAAGTGATAGGGTTGGATTATGTGGGGCCAGGGTTGTGTTGGGTATGGCCAGGGTAGGGTTGGGTAGTGCCAGGGTTGTGTTGGGTAGGGCCAGGGTTGGGTTGGGTAGATTGATAGTGGAAGCTGATGGAACTAGCAGTTGCTGAGGGTTTACGAACAGACTCGGCATCAGATTCATCTGTTTATGTATTTTACTGTGTTTGTTTAGATTGGAAACCGGTTTCAAACAAATCGGACAAACCAACTTTAACCCCTGAAAAAAATATATAGGTAAAATTAGTTTTTTGCACATTCGGAGTACGCATTATTCCAAAATTATATGCTTGTTACAGAGCTGAAAACTTGTGTTGGATACTCATGATCCCGATCACTTAATCTCGATATTAACTGTGGGCACTTTTAATTTGAGGACCTATAATAAACTATACCTTTCGCTATCTTGAATTTATTTATACTTCCCTGATCAAAGCTCCCTTCAATCCCTGACTATGTACGATTACAACTAAATTAATCTGCAGATTATCAAATTGTCGTGATCAAGGATTGATATCGATATCCAAAATACATAAGTTCCCAGCACAGGTTCAATTGTTTTTTATTTGTATCAGATCCGAATTGGTTTTTAGTGTTAAATCTATATGATATACCTTAAACAACTTCAAAACAGAACAAAAACTTAGATGCTTCGAACAAAAATATAGAACTAAAGGGACTGTAATCGTAATCCTTCATTTTTAAAGAGCTTTGTCGCGCCCGATTTACAACGGATTAATGGAAATTATCTAAATTTTCTAGCGTCGGAGTGTTAATTTCTCACAATTTTCAATATTGTTTCTGAAGCAAGAAACCCATAAGTCACTTCTTCAGAAAAACCCGCATTTGAAAATATTGAAGTTGTAGGAAGAAGACAGGTGTAACTCCATCAATTTTGTTCATACAAAGGGTACCGTTGTGTATTTGACATACAGGCTAAGGGGGAGAATGTTTAAGTTAAGAGGTTGACCAACAGAATTTGAGAAGTATGTATCGAGAAATCTATACCACAAACACAGGGTAAAACATATTCGTTAAACCAAACCTTTATTAAATTCTACAAATAAATACCTCATGAACTCTTTTCCTGTGTCTTATCATATTTGAATACTTGCTAAATTCTTCTCCACAAAGACTACACTTGGTTTCCTTCACAGTGTTCTCCATAATCTTTAATAGAAAGAAAATATTAGATAAAAAGCTCTGTGTCCAAATTTAATGAAATCCCCCAAAACCGGTTTCAATTGAGTGCCAGCTCAAGTCTTGAAACATTAAATACGATTTTAAGTGGAACCAACCATATTTGAGCCTCGGCTCAAGTTCTTTAAATTCTGCCTCTGATTTATCTTTGTCTCCCTGGTAGAACAGAAAATAATCCAATTTATATACTAGGGGTAGAAAAAACAGAGTTTGTTTTTCGGAGCTCATAATTCTAAAAACTTTCCTTGAAAACAAAAACTGAAATTGGCAGATTTTCAAAACAGTAGTAAGCTAAAATATATAATCAGAGCTAAAAACTTTAGAATGGGATATCCTTAATCCCGATAGGTAAATCAATCTGGAGATTAATAACAAGAGGAGAACAATCACTATTTAATCTGGATATAAAGAAAAAGAGGAGATCAAGCATTATTCTCGATATCCACCATTCAAAAGTTTTCAGCACTGGGAATATAATAAGACAAAGTGATTTTGTGGATTCAACCCTAACCTTTTTCTCTCATTGGTCAAAAATTCAGGGATACGTCTAATGAAAGGTTCAGTTCGGATCAAATGATATCTTTTCTTCTAGAATAAATTTACACAAAAACCAAGAGACACGAGAACACAACTGTAGTGTACATCCCTGTCTAAAGGCACAGTAAATGTTCTAGATACAGCGTTAGCTGTTGCACCAGATATCAAATGCCGCCATCATTTAGCGCTGATTATGGTGAGGGAGGTCTTAATTAAAGAGCGGATGGGGGAAAGGGGGGGAGGAAAACTTACTTGATGCGCTCGCCTCAGGTGTTGTCTTATATCATAATATTCATGTTCGCACAGTTCACATTTCGTCTTCTGCACAGTTATAATTTCAATTATAATTTCAAACTTTTTTGTTTGTTCTTAAAATCGAGAAATAAGGATTCAAAACTAGCTTCCTTTGTTTCCATTATTGCCAGAATCTATGTTGCTCTCAAAATGGAATTAAAAACTTTAATCCTAAATCAAAAAAATAACAAACTTACTTTTATGTACTTCCAAGGCAAAAAAAATCATTTAAAAACAAAAATAACAGATCTTATTCAATAAAATTTTAACTTACCGTTTTTATTCCAGATTTGGTGATATTGTGCATAACTCGCATATGCTGATTAATATTCGAGTATTCCTTAGGAAGAAATAATTATTTGATTAAATACAAACCGACAATATAGTTTATTAAATTGCAGAACAGTCAATCAAACGATTATTTGATTAAATACAAACCGACAATATAGTTTATTAAATTTTAGAACAGTCAATCAAACGATTTATATTTTGTATTTATAATGGTAAATAGAAAGTTTTATCATGACCGACCGACCGACGAACCGACCGACAAACGAACCAACCAACCAACCAACCAACCTATCGATTAATCAATGCTTGTAAACTTATAAGTTCTTAGTTTTGACAAAACAATATTTATTGTCTCCTCCCTTGCCGCAGAGATGACAGATGGTCCTTGTACCCAGATGAACAGTTTTAACGTGCAGAGTATGGTTTGTCATTCGGTTAGTTTTATACCCGCATAGATCACACTGATACCGACAAACCTCCTTATCTGAAAGTAGTATTATATTAGGCTTGCACTTTTTGCGAAAGGTTATGAAGAAATTAACCTGAAGTGCAGAAAATACGAGAGGGGGAATTAATAATAGAAGTTGTTTGTTCCCTTTACTTACGTTTTTTCGGTTTAATAGTGTGGAACTTTTCAACATGGTTCTCCAGGTTTCGGACTAATCTAGAATAATAACAATCAATCAATCAATCACTAACTCACTCAACCACTCAACCAACCAATCAATTTTTTGATTACCCAATAACCACAAACACCGAACCGATTTTATCAGTAAATCAATTAACTGCTAAAACAACTTTTTTCAATTTTTTGTTTACTTTCATCTTTGAATTGCTCTTCTTATTTATGAATAATTAGGTAGGTCAGTTTCTCACTTTTTATCCCTAAGAGCTAAGGGCGTGTGCGTGATATATTCGCCTAAATATTCTATTAACTTTTTTATAACTTCATCAAAAATTTAAAAAATTGCGAGACGAGAGCTGTTTTATAAAAATATAGACCAAAAAAGTCGAGAAAAAAATTATCAAAATGTATCAATAGGGATATCAAAAGATCCGTCTTTTTCATTCAGAAAAGTTCATTTCGATTGGAATTATTTAACCAATGATTTTTATATTAAAAATTTAGCAAAGTCCCTTAATAACTTTGTTTTACATTTAATTCAGAAAAGTTCATTTCAATTGGAATTATTTAACCAATGATTTTTATATTAAAAATTTAGCAAAGTCCCTTAATAACTTTGTTTTACATTTAATTAAGAAAAGTTCATTTCGATTGGAATTATTTAACCAATGATTTTTATATTAAAAATTTAGCAAAGTCCCTTAATAATTTTTTTTTTTACATTAACCAAACAAAATCATAATTATCAAAAAATAACAAGGTGGACAGTGATTATGTGATTATGTGAGATGAGATCTGCAAGAAGCCCCATCTTGGGCATCCCAGACCGCCTACAGGACTATCCTGAACCAGCCCGGCCACCTACTACGAGGAGGGGTACAACCTGGAGGAAAGGCATGATAATAGTCACGATGCGTACCCTGCAACAGTAGTCAGCGGCTTGAGATACATTTTTTCATAACCATATCGATATATTTTGAAGAATTTTTTTTTCTATCCTACAATTGATTTTGTTTATCTTTTATTTTCTTTCAAAGACGCTCACCTCGCCATTTTTTTTTTTTTTTATTTGATTAATTATTTTAGCCCTAAGCTTGGTTCCAAAAGCGACCCACATAAAACTAAGAAATGTTTCCACTAACTTTTTGCGGCCACACTCACTAATTTTTATATGTTTTCTGTAAAATATTGACCTTTGCCCCGGGCAGTCCCTGCATATAACCATCCTGTTATTTGATCCTTTCTTTTTCTTTTTGATCATTCGTCTCATCTCTTCAACCATTTCGTCGTCAACACCTTCAACAGTTATAACCTAACCTACATTTAATTCAGTTTAACCCAACATATTAAAAATATCGCTTAAATAAATTATATTTTGATAAATTCAGGAAAAGATGAATGGGTAAAAATAGGTTTTCCTATTTGATACTTTTTACCCAAAGAACTCGTTTTTTTTCTATTTTAATGCGGCGAGATACTTTTTTGTTTCTCCACCCAAACATTCCTGTCGTACTGGAATAAGAAGATTTTTCATCCAAACCTGGGACTGAAGCATCGGAGAGTTATTCTCTTTATTTGAAAGGTTTGCAAGCGCAGACTCTGTCTCAAGGCCTGAGAGGAGGATGGGAGCAGAGTACATGGATGAGGATGGAGGACGATCCTCCATCATCAAGGGTAGATTCCCATCCTCTTCATCCTCAGTATATCCTTGGCTCTCGGGGTCATAATCCGCGATCACCTGAGGATATAAAGAAAATAATTTTTTAACTAGAAGACAACCCTCATACAGGTGAACGTTACACAAATAATTTAGCAAATTTAAAGGGACTGTAAGCGATTTTCAAGAGACCCTTCATGCAAAGATGGCAATGCCCAATTCACAACGCTGAAAATTTTGTCGTTTTTCTAGGTTTGAAAAAAATGTGTTTAATCTTATGTTCCTAATTTTTTCCTGCAGTATAAATAAACAAGTCTCTTTTTAAGAGAAACCACGATTAAAAATAATCAGTTTTCAAAATTCTAATTCATACTTGGATCAGACAAAGCGTTGTGGATCGGAATTATAATTACGCGTACAGATGTCGAATTTAAAGAATTTGAGCCTCGGCTGAAATTTGAGACGCGGCTCAAATATGGTTGGTTCCACTTAAAATTGTATTCAATATTAAAAGATTTAAGCCGGCGCTCAATTAAAACCGATTTTTCGGCAGATTTGAGACGCGGCTCAAATTCATTAAATTCGGACTCCGTCCTATTAAATATGTTAAAAATCTTATCCTGCCGTCATTTTTTCTAAACCTATAATCAAAATCTTACCGAGGACTGAGATTCATCTTGTTCCAAGTTAATTTCTGTACTGTAAACTGTACTCTGATCACTGTACAACGTACTGTCCTCCGTATACACAGTTGACCCCTCTTCAATTCTCACGTAAACAGTTCTAGAACCGGTTTCTTCAGGCTCCAGGTCGTCATCAAAGTCTGAATTCAACTTAAGCTCTTCGTGTGCAGGCTGGAGCGGTGTATTGACAAGTACATCAGTGTTTAAATGCATCCGTTCAGGATCATCTTCAGGATCTTGCTTCAGTTCCAAGTCTTCAGTGAGATTCAGGCAAACGTTCTGTTCAGAATTTAGCTGAATGTTTTGATGTTCAGACTGTTGGGTAGAGTTTAATAGAACAGGATTGAGCTGTATATCTTCTATGCCGGAGAACCGTGAAGAATGGTTCGACTGTTTTCCAGCCATTTCGGGTTTAATGAAAGATTGTATTCCTGGGACGCAAAGCTCCAGGTCCTGGTTCATGTTCCCCGGAATATCTGTGCTCAGACTACCCCTGGAGTCTATCTCTGTCGTCAGAACTGAATAGTCTACCTCGGGCTTAACATCCACATCGTTTATTTTAGATTTGTCATTTGTAAAGTCTTCTTCGGGTTTCTGTGTTAGTTCCGCGTGAATCTGCTGAATCCTCTGTTCTGCAAGGCTGCGTAGAGTACAGTGGACGGAGTGTCTCGTTAGTCCGGATTTTTTTCTTAAAAATTCATTATTAGAAATATAATTTCTTTTAGGTCACAAATCCCAAATTAAGGCATAAACATGAAAGTTGAATGAATGTATAGGAAAAAATATTTTTGCTACGCTAAATAAATATCATAAGATGTAGTTGGTGAAAGCAAGCAGTATGAATTTAATGGATTAGATCAAATTTTGCGGGAGAATAACCATATAAGAATTGAATGATTGATTTAAGAAATAAATGAGCAAGTGTCCTACAAAAGTTCGGATAAAAAAATTAGTTGACTAAGTAAATGTCAAATACTGTTTTTTTTTCTTAATGTATGAAAGAGAAAAGGTGCAGGGTGGATTTGAGCATTTTCAGCAAAAAATAGCTTAATAATTTCACCCTTTATTTGACATTTACAAACTTTATGTTTTTCCGTGAAAATTTTCCCGATAAAAATTAAGCGAGGACAAGCAATCTTGAGTTAATAAGTTGTCTGAAAGAGTAAATGGTTTAATAAAATACCTAAAAACTCTTCTGCAAAATTGACAAACGTAGAGAATATTTTGTCCGGTGTGAACCTAAAATTAAGATTTTTTAATAAACTCTATGATTTATAGTTCTATCTAAACATTTCAGAATTGTGTGTTGGATCCAATTTAAGAACCTCAATTTGATCATTCATCGCAGGGCCTCAGACTTTGAAAAAAAAATTTTAATATCTCTTAAACACGACATTTTTTAATTTTTAAAAATTAACTGTTAAAAACCAGAATATAATATACGTAGAAAATAAAAACGGAAGAAAATATAGTCTCCCCACACATTTACACACTGATGACGTGTCAACCATAACATGCGAATAATCGACAATCGTATTAGAAAAATTTTAACTCAAAAATAGTGTAAACCATAAAATGTTTATGTTTACCTGTTTAATGTGAACGTTTAAATTTGCTACTTTCTTCCCACACTCTCCACACTCGACAATCTGCGTGTGTTTCCGGGTATTGTGACGAAGCATGGAGTATCGGGATTTAAACCTGACCACGGGATTTCCTACTTCAATATATCTGTTTGTATCCAATATACATCATAACGGCTGAACCGATCGGGCGAAATTTTGTTATGGGACCTTACGTGACCCCAGGGAAGGTTTATGGCATATCAAAATAGGAAAAAGTATTCCTGGAACAAAATTCTATATATTTTTTGAAAATGCGCCAATTCGAAAAGAAAATCCGTTACAATTTGAAAATAATTTTAAATGGTGACTTTCAGAACAACAATTAAAAGTTAAATAAGATGGGTGCGAAGCGCCCTAAAAGCCTGGTAATAATAAAAATAACAGTGATGATCTTGTAAGATTCCCATTGTAAAACCTCCAGTCCAACATCATATTACCAAACTTTATAAAAGAAATTGGAGAACTAGATTGGTACTATTTTGGGTCAGATCTAGCATGCGCAAACCCAACTTAAATAATAAAAAAAACCTATATCCTATCTAAAAAACTCCCAATCCTTTTCTTAATAAAAATGCTGCGAGGGGGTGGGGGGGGGAATGAATGAAAACATTTAAAGCTATATCTAAAACTTTCCCATCCCACAAAAAAAAATTTAATATGAAATAAAAACAAGTCTCTTGAGAGAAAACTATAAATGAATAATGAGAGGAAAGGATAAGATAATAAAAAGAATAACAATAAGAAGAAGAAATCCCGTACTCTGTTCCACATATTTTACACTTGTACTCGTGAACATACTTGAGACAGTGCCCCTTAGCCATATGCTTCGTCAGGTCAAAGAATTCTCTGAACCAGGATTGCAACAATAATCATGTTCCCGCTCATCTCAAGGGGTCTCTATATATATAAAGTAGTAATCCATGTTTGTTTGTTTGGATGTCCGAATGAGCCCAATGAACCGATTTGTTACAAATTTGTATTGGGGAACTCAGGAGAACCAAGGGAATGTTCTTAGCTTGGTTTTGAGATTTTAAGTTGAGTGGGAAAAATAGCTGAAATCAAGATTTAAGACCAAGTGCGGGTATACGGCAGGAGTAACTATGAGTAACCTGGGCATCGCCGGATTCCCAAGCTAGTATATTATCTTATTAAGTAATTTTGACTTCTGGAAAACCCCTCTATAAAAACTATTTGTTTTAATAGTATTACAATCCATTCCTGTTACACTCTTCACAAGTTTTTTTATTGATGATTCCCGATCTCAAAACCTGCAATTAATAAAATATTTTAATACATTCTCCTTTCTTCAATTACAGAGTTTTTTATTAGTTAGTAGTTAACAATAATCAATTACTCTGATCAACTATATGGAATTTAAATTTTATCGAACAACCATGGGTCGGCAAATTAAAATGTTTTAAAGTTATTATAATCTTAAATTATAATCTCTAGTCTCAAAATGTATTTCACACAACTTAGCTGTATTCTTCAGGACAAACTTACAGAAGAAACTTTTCAATTCAAATGTTTTCAACATATAAAAAATTTCAAAACTCCCTTTTTTATAAAATCTTGAATCAACCATGTGAACGAGCCCGATTACCAACCTTCTACCTTAAAAACGAGCCTCGCTTCCAAAATTGCGAACGAGACGTGCAACAAACCTTATGAAAGGGTATCGCAATCTTAAGAATGTGGTTCGAAACCGCCGAATTAAACGCGGCTCGTACCAAGCGTTATAAAGCCGCGCCTTTAGCCTTATTAAGTTATGAACAAGCCTTGCAACCAACCTTATGCACGACTCTCATATGCTGATTTATGTTGGAGAACTCCTTTCCACAAAGATCACAGATAGTTTTAAGCTTAAGATGGATCATCCGAGTGTGCTCATTCAGGTGACTTCGACGGGATGTCTTGTAAGGACAAAAATCACAACTAAAAATATATATTTGGTTAAATTATTATTATCAATTTAAAAAAGAAAAAAATGTCTTTCGACTAATTTTTTGTCGCCTCGACGAATACTTAACAGAAAATCAGATTTGGAGAAAGAAATAGTTGTTTTATACTTTTAGGCGAATATCTTTTCAAAAGGGTTTTGATTGTNTCCAGGTCATTAAGATTTATTTCAGATTTACTGACTTTTTAAGAAATTTCAAATTATTTTCTTTATTTTTTCACTTATCTCATGCAACAACTTGAACCCCCATTCTGAGAAAAAGACATTTCTCTTTTTTCAGCAGCAGTTCAGATCGAGATTTGAGATTGGTTCATATTTAGCCCTTGTATCCGGATCCAGTAAGCCAAAAAAAAACCTTATCACTGGTTATTTGTCACCAAATCTACCTGTTCTAATAAGAATCCCTGATGTTGAAGCTGAGAATCAATATTGAATTCAATATCCCCAGATTCTCCATCTAAATAAAAAAATACATTCACACTTAAGAAGAATTAAAAAATAGTTTGTTACATTAATCTATGTAAATAAAGTTTAATCTTTGTCTGTAGGTTTTCTGTTTACTTGAATGACCGATCATAACTCGTGAACACCTTGACCGATTTGCCGCAAATTTTGACTGGGGAACTCGGTAGTACCACGGTCACAGGTATGTTCTTAGTTTGGTTTAAAAATTACAAGTTGAGCAGGTTGACATTTATAGGGAACTAAGCTCCTAGGCAAAACTGGGTTACCAAGATAGTTTAAAATGAACTAAAATGTTCTTCCACTGATTCATACTTCAAATTAGTTTAAAAATTTTGGTTTTGGATCGATTTTTTTTCAAGGAAGGAACAGGACTGACCTCCAAATTATACTCTTCTTCCAAAACGATTAATTTAGAAGAACATGCATATAAGTACATAACATACACGTTAAAGGATGATGTGTTGCACAATACTGTGTACCTGTAACTTTGGTTTCTGACAAAATATAAGTTTCTTCGTTATTCTGGAACATGAGTTCTTCTTCTACTTTTACATCTCCTCCTCCTTCCCCACCTCCTTCATCTAGCTTTCTGCCACAGAAAAATTAATTGATAATAAAAAGTCTTTTTATATGCAGTGTCACTTTAGAGGTGTATTGCACCTTATTAGGGACAAAAATAGTTCAACAGCTTTATTTGATCTTTGGACGTTTATAATAATATAAGTCACTAAGGGCAAAAAGAACTCCATCGCGCCATTAAAGTCTTAAAAAACTAATTTGAACATATAATATTTCGAAAACTCAAAAATGAAAACCTAATCTTTGCCAAATTGCTAATCCAAAAAAATCCTGAAAACCCCCCTAGTCTAAGGTCCTAGCTCTATTGCTGAGACAGGCTATGTGGTCGAGCACTGCGGCTCTGAAATTGTTTCCTTAATTAAGTTTAGATATTTTCGTATAACATAATTGATCAGGAGCTCAACAAGATTTTTTTATCAAGAAATTACAAAGAAATCTGGTATATTCCTAGAGAACAATTTTCGAACCCCCCCCCCCC